GCTGGGCGAGGTGGCAGGTGCCTGTAGTCCCAGCTACTTGGGAGGCTGAGGCAGGAGAATAGCGTAAACCCGGGAGGCGGAGCTTGCAGTCAGCTGAAATCCGGCCACTGCACTCCAGCCTGGGCGACAGAGCAAGACTCTGTCTCAAAAAAAAAAAAAAAAAAAAAAAAAAAAATTTAATCGTTTTAGTCCTTAAGTTTAGGTTCATTTTCCTTTTCTCATAAATTTTTACATAGTATGTGAGTTGAGGTTCACTTTTTTCCCTATTCAGACATCCACTTGTCTCATACCTTTTTCCCTATTAATTAATCTAGCACCTGTGTCAAACATAAATTGACCATATAAGTGTTGTTCTGTTTGTGGACTATCATTCCATTATTTCATGTGTCTGTCATTAGACCAATACCACGCTGTCTTGATTTATCTAACATATAGCAAGCCTTGAAATCAGGTAGTGTAAGACCTCCAACCTTGTTATATTTAAGGAGTGTTTTGGCTGTTCTTGGTCCATTTCTTCTCTAAATGCCTGCAAGGATTTTGACTGGGATTGTTTTGAATCTGTAGATAAATTTGGGAAGAACTGGCATATTTACAATAATGAATCTTATATATGAACCATGGTATCTTCTCCATTTATTTAAGTCTTCTTTAATTTCCCTTAAAATTCTCATGATAATGCAGTATATTGTAATTTGCAGCATATAGGTCTTAGACATCTTTCACTAAACTTAAATATTTTTAATACTATTGTAATAGATTGGGGGTTTTTTAATTTTTCTATTTATAATTCCATATATTCTATAATTTATAATTGTAATTGTAATAATTTTCTGATATATAGACACTCATTTGACTTTCGAATATTGACCTTGTAGTCTGTGACTTAATTTCACTTAATAGCTCTAATAGTTGTTTTGTAGATATCTTGGAATTTTCTATGTATAGGATCATAGTATCTGCAAATAAAGACAGTTTTTTCCTGCCTTCCGATCTTTACACTTTCCTTTTTTTTTTCATTACACTGATTTTGACTTCTAGTACAATGTTGAAGTGGTAAGAGCAGAAATCCTTGCCTTGTTACTGATCTGAGTTATAAAACAAAATCTTTCATCTTTGAGTTTTGTGTTATTTGTAGATTTTTGTAGATGTCTAATCAGGTTTAGGAAGTTCTCTTATACTTCTAGTTTGTTGAGGGCTTTTACCATTAATGAATATTGGATTTTGTTAATTTTTTTGCAGTTATTGAAATATGGCTTTCTCCATTGTTTTGTTAATATGATAAATTACATTGATTCACTTCGTTATGATTATTATCTTTTTTAATATATTGCTGGGTTGAATTTCCTAAAATTTTGTTAAATTTTGTATCTTTTTGAACATTAGAGAGATTAGTCTGTACTTCTATTTTCTTGTTTTATGTTTGCCTTGTTTTATTTTTTTCTTTCAGAATTCACCAATGAAGCAACCTAGTTCCCAACTGGGAGAGGGAGGTTTTTGTGTGTTGTGAAGCAAGGCTTATAATTATGAATTTAATCTATATAATTGATATAATCATGTATACTTGAAAAGAATGTGGTTTGCCATAGTTGAGTGTAATGTTCTATAAGTGTCAGTTAAATCAAGGTTGATGATGTTGAGGTTGCCTGTGCCTCCACTTATTTTTTCTGGTTATATTGGTTGCTGAGAGAGGGATGAAGAAAGCAAGTTATACCTCTAGCAGCAGCTTTAGTAAAGTTACATTGCAAAGAGATAACGCTTGTAAGGATAGGAGGAATTTGTTACCATGTTTTATGGTCTACCACTAAGTTCATTTTACTGTTCTCTGTACTTTTGTATATATTAGAAATTTTCTGTAATAAAATCTTAAAAACCAAACCCTCTCAGGTGATATATTCCAGGGAATGCATGTTGAAGCCACAGCATGCTTCACCGTATACAGGAAAAATATTTAGGATTTCTATTTATGTTTATTTTTTACATTGTCATTTTAAAAGTTCTATTTTGGCATATGTTTTGTAGGGCAAGGCATATCCAATAGTCATAAATAATTTTAAAATATAGATGCATACATATGGGAGAGAATTATATATTATATGTTATTTTACTATTCTGGTTTTAAAATAGTAGTTTTACCCTCATGGAAAATCAGTTTTATTCCAAAAGTTATGTATCATTGGATGGTCTTGAACCTTATCTTAAATTATGTTTTTATGCAATACTTATTTTTAAATGCTTTGTTCTGTCAGGTTTTTAATTAAGAGGTGTTTTTATATTCTGAAACTCCTGAATCATGTCAGAACTTAAATTAAGGTGATAATTTTCATTTCAGGGAATGCTGAAATTACAATCTAAAATTAGGTCAGTGGTGTGCAGGCTTAAAAGGAAACAAAAACCAGCTTTTAACAAACAAGAAGTAAAAGAAACAGTGTCTTAATGTTCTGTTCCCTATATATACTTGAAATTAAGAGTATTTACTAATAATGAGTAAAAATTGGGGAGAAAGTGAGGTAATGTAATATTGGCCCTAATTATTCCTACTGAAAACCCTATCTTTTTTTTTTTTTTTTTTTTTTTTGCATCTAGAATGTTTACTTCAGGTATCATTTGAATTAAGAAAACCAAAGGGAAAGCTATGATTTATAGATAGAAAATAAATTAAGAAACTAAATTACACTAATACCTTACACTAGCCTCAATTCACTTCCTAACCCTACCCCCTGAATCTCCATTGTACTTTTAAAAGCAGAGTAAATCACAAACACATTCCAAATGCAGGTGTTAATTTTTAAACTTTACAGTACTCAGACTTACACTGTTTAGGTTTTGTACCCATTTGCTATCATTAGCTTCCTGCAGTTAGAAAAACTTACATTCCAAATTTCAGCTTTGGCAATCTGTATATTAGGAATGTATTTATTTTCCTGGATTTGAGAGAATATGTTCTTAAGGGTTTTGTTAAAAGCCTTAATCGTGTACAGCACTTTACATTGTAAGGTGATTAATTGCTGTGTCATAAGGCAGGGATTGGACAAATGTCTTGGGAGATTTAAACACAAATTACGTGTTTTGGAGGGGCTTTGTGTTTTGTAAACCTTTAGGTAATTCAGAATTTGACCACCTATCCCATTTCTTGAGCACAGTATGATTAAGATTTTCCTTAAAATAACAACTTTACAAAATTTGTTAACACCCAAATTAAAGAACAACTTCCAGTGAGGGTTCTTTTACCAGCCAGTATCATTAGGTAGGAAAATTGAATTTCTGTCCAAGTGGGATTTATATATTAAAGCAATACAGCCAGTGATATATTTGGATGTTAGGGTATTTGGCAAAGTCCCTCATGAGATATCCTTGAAGAACAGGACTTAAGAAATGTGGACTGCAGAATAATACAATTAGACTGATTTGTAATTGAGCGCCATAAACACTAATTGAATTCTTGTCATCAGCTGGGATGTAGCACTCTGCCTGTTTTTTTTTTTAAATCAGTTGTTTGAATGAGGACAAATAGTATGATGATGATGACGTTAATTCACAGATGATGTTAATCTGGTATCCACATTCCTGAAAATTGGATGGCAGGTTTATTTAGAAAACAAAATGATCTTGATGGGTTAGAACAGGACATCTCATTAACAATGTAACTTTTTTTAAAAAATTAAAGATAGGGTCTCACTGTGTTGCCCAGGTTGGTCTTGAACTCCTGGGCTCATACGGTCCTCCCACCTGAGCCCTCCTGAGTAGCTGAGATTACAGGTGTGCACCACCATCCCCACCACATGATAACTCCTTTTTTTTTTTTTCTGAGGTGGAGTCTCGCTTTGTTACCCAGGCTGGAGTGCAGTGGTGCAATCTCGGCTCACTCCAACCTCCGCCTCCTGGGTTCATGCCATTCTCCTGCCTCAGCCTCCCAAGTAGCTGGGACTACAGACACTGCCACCACACCTGGCTAATTTTTTGTATTTTTAGTAGAGACAGGGTTTCAATCTCAATCTCCTAATTGATGTTAGCCGGGATGGTCTCAATCTCCTGACCTCATGATCTGCCCACCTCAGCTTCCCAAGTCCTGGGATTACCTGCATGAACCACCGCGCCAGGCCGATAACTCTTATTAAATTATAAATGTAAACTCTTTTCCTTTGCCTCTTCCCAAAAAAGAAACTTTAAGAATACACTGGCCAGGGGTGGTGGCTCACGCCTTTAATCCTGGCACTTTGGGAGGCTGAGGTGGGCGGATCACTTGAGCCCAGGAGTTTTGAGACCAGTGTGGGCAACAATGGCAAAACCCCATCTCTACACAAAAAATACAAAAATTTGCCGGGCGTAGTTGTGTACAACTGTAGTCCCAGCTGCTTGGGAGGCTGAGGTGAGAGAATCGCTTGCGTCTTGGAGGTAGAGGTTGCAGTGAGCCAGGGTTGTGCCACTGCATTCCAGCCTAGGTGAGAGAGTGAGACCCTGTCTCAAAAAAAAAGAAAGAAAAAAAGAAAAGGATACAGCATAAAAAATGGATTTTCCAAAGCACATATAATGAATGGCATAGATCATTTTCATTATATTTGAAAAAAGCAAGATTCAGAATTATATTCATGATTCATGTCTCAGTTTTATTGAGACAAGTCTCAATTTTGTGTTAAATATGTATTAGAAAATATATAGAATAGTTCTAGATTGTATAATTAGGAATGGTTTTCATTTTATTTTGCCTTTCTGTTTATTTCCAATTTTCTACAACGAGCATGGAGCAAGGAGTAATAATAAAACACATTGAAGATAAAGTGTTTAATTTTTTTTATATGATTTAAATGTGTAGTCTAAGGATAGTTAATTTATATTGTTACAGTAAAGATTTTCTCCTTTATTTGTCTTTAATAATAGTCACCATGATACAAAAGTCAGCATCCAGCCATGGTGCTCTCTGCACAGAACAGTCTGTTACCATTTTCTTCCTCTATTACTAGGAATCCATTGAATCCGTTTTCGTTTTTTCCCCTTTATCAAAGGTTGAGTTAATAAAAGGGAATTTACAAAGTGTTGGACTTACACTTCGTCTCGTCCAGTCAACTGATGGGTATGCTGGGCACGTCATCATTGAAACTGTGGCTCCAAACTCACCTGCTGCAATTGCAGATCTTCAGCGGGGAGATCGACTTATCGCCATTGGAGGTAATTATGCTAATATGCATTATACTTTACCTTTACAGATAAACTGCAAAGTAGGTGTGAGGTTTTTCCTCCCTTCCTTTTTCCTTGTTTCTATAATATGCATATATTACTTTTATAATGAAATAAAGTAATAAACTTTATTATAAATAAACATTCGAAGGAGGCCTTCAAAATACATTTAAAACATACATGCCATTTTAGTTCTAATGTATAAATCTTTAAAATACTTTATTTAGACCACTTTTATATAACCACTCTATTCCTTCCCTTCCCACCTTCTACTACTCTATTTATTTTTTCTTGAATGTGAAAGTAAGGACAAATAAACAGTTAGGTTATCTTTCTGTATGACTACCACCATTGCTACTCTGAACCTAAAATTGGTCATATTAGCACTACTGCCCCCATCACTTAGCACTAGATAATGAGCAGCAGAGGAACTAACATTCCTTTTCCAGGAGGGCACATCTGAACTGTCCTGTGACCCTGTGTCATCTGAATGGCTAGCCATTTGTTAATATGTTGTTGCTCAGAATTCAGCCCAAATCACTGGTGGAAAAATGTGTCACTTACATGCCTTCCTATCACTTGGATTGTTAACAGTAAAAACTCTCCGAAGTTAGCAGATTATTTGTTTGTATATAAATGTCTAAGCAGTAGGACTCACTGTGCACAGCAGTGGAGGGAAAGTCCAAGCCTTTTCAACCTTTGTAGTACCTGTCCCATCTATTCTAGGCTTGTTGAGAGATTTCTTGAACATATGGTTGGTCACAGTTGATCTTCTCAGGGCAGTGTGATATTTTTTTTCACAGCTTAGACAATAAATAAGTTAGAATAGTTCCCAAATCAAGGTGCAGTTGTCCTTGGTTACATGTCAAAGAAACTCTGCCTTTGATTCAAATCCATCTTGACAATAAAATAATGAAAATTATTTAGTTGCATACCTGGGAGCCCAATTAAGTTACTATTTTCACATGGAATCTCTCTGATCATGGCATAAGCAGTGCTTCTCAAACTTTCCCATGTATGCCAGTCACCCAGACCTGATGTTAAAATGTGCATTCTGAATCAGGAGACCTGTAGTGGGGCCCAAGATTCTGCATTTCTCACAAACTCCTCCCAAATGATGATGCTCATGCATAAACACTTAGGGAGGCATAAAATAGACATCATTCATTATATTAATATTTAATATTTTGGTTTTACCTACAGGATAGAATTAATTTTTTTGGTCTTTTTTGGGGGTTGTGTTTCAATTACACAAGTAGTAAATACCTATTATCAAAAATAAATTAACCTAAGCGATATAAATGTATACAGAATGAAAAAGCAAAAGTCATCCCTTGACATCTAACATTTGTTAATAATGATAACAATAGGCCGGGCTCGGTGGCTCACGCCTGTAGTCCCAGCACTTTGAGAGGCTGAGGCGGGCGGATCACCTGAGGTCAGGAGTTCGAGACCAGCCTGGCCAACATGATGAAACCTGTCTCTACTGAAAATACAAAAATTAGCTGGGTGTGGTG